TGGGAAGGGAGGTTTTTTACATCCTCCAATCAGCTTAAAGGTTGAGAGCATGCATCCTGTCTCAGTGCCTAGCTATTGCAATCAGGCAGTGTTCACAAGCACGGAAGGGCGTATTTGGCCAATAAGGGCTAAGGCAAGGATCCCGCAGACACTCCCACCCTACTTCCTCCCGGCGCTGTCTTAGGCTGCCACGTTAATACGCCCTTGTGGGCCCATAATGGTGCTGCTTGTAATGTCACTTAAGGTGGCATTAGTTTTTAAGGCCCGACAACTTACTGACTGTGTAACTTCAGGCAAGGTGTTTATTTAATCTCCATAAACCTCAGCCTTCTTGCTGGGTAAAATGCCCATGTCACAGGTTGAGATGATTAAATGGTGAGAGAGGTAACTGATTTAAAGAACCTAGCAAAGTTAGGTTCCCTTTCCTCCTTATATATCTTGATTTTTATGCCAGTACCCAGAATGGTACTATACAAATATTAGGTGCTCCAGAAATTGTTGAATAGTAATTTCTTTGCCATTACTAAAATATAAAGCTGCTATAATTTCTAGGCCACTGATATTTTATTGAGTTGCTTTTTAAAAAAAAAAATCCTTTTTTCCATTAGGGCAGAACATATTACAGATTAATACCAGATTAAAAAACTAAATGCAATGCAGAATTATGTGGTGGATAAGGATGATGTCTTACAAACCATATTAAAATTCAAATGAATTCAAATTAGAAACATACCTATTAATAAAAAAATTAATTACTTAGAGTTAGTAGCAGTTTATAAAAGCAATTTCTTTTACCATTTGCATAGAAACTAGGCTCTGGGGGGCCAAGAAGATGCTGTCTGGACTCGAAAGCAAGCCCATAGTTTGGCAATATACAGTGTCATGTACTCCAACCTTAAAATTTTCATTCTCATTTTAACAGATTTAAATATATTCTAATGCCAGTGGAGGGGATTATATTCCAGAGGATGTAAGATTGGGACCCCAAAAATTAGACTGTGATCTTAAGATTAGTTTAAAAACTTGCACTTCATTCCAAGAGTTATGCATTTCACTAAAAAATGCTGCTGTTTGAATAGTCTGACAGATTTTGGCAACGTTGCAAATTCTCAATCACCTGAAAAATTCAGCATTTAATAATCTGTGTAGACCTATCTTTCTATATCTCACCATGTCCTTTTTGAATTTTTTTTTTTTTTTTTTTTTCCTTTTTGTCTTTTTCCATGTCCGGCAATGGATCGCAACCCTCAGTGTCGCCCCCGTACCGGACCGGGACCGGCAACGGGATCGCAACCCTCGGTGTTGCTCCCGCGCCTTGCTCAGCCAGTGAGCGGGAACCGGTCTGTATGTGGGATCCGAACCCTCGGCGGGAGCGCCGCCGCGCTTCCCAAGCGGTGCACTATAGCAGTGCGCCACCAGGCCAGCCCATTTTTTTTTTTTTTCTTTTTTGAATTTTTATTCATCATTCTTCAATTTGTATATTATATGGCTACTTCAATAATGTATCTAAATATTTGACTAAGGATAGATTTTTAGAAGCAAGCATGATATATTCATTGTTCTTTTAAAATTATAAACAGAGTTGGTCTCCATATACAACAGTACTTCAAAAAGTTCATGGAAAAATAAAATTAAAAGATAATGCAAATCTTTCCATGAACTTTTTGAAGTACCCTCATAGAGGTAGCATTAATTTATAATAAGTAAGATAATAAAGAAATATTCCATCATAATAAGCAGCCCTTAAAAGTAGTGCTATTTTAAATGTACGAGCTAAATTATAATGGCTACCATTTGTTGAACATATATTATGTGCTCAATATTTTGCATACCTTACCCCTACTTTATAGTTGAGGAAACTGAGTCTCAGATAAGTGAATTAACTGTTCTAATGTAACCCAGCTAATAAGTGATAGGAATTAGCTTTTAATTCAGGACTGTCTGAATCGAAAGTTAATTAATTCAGTAACCATGTTGTATTGCCTCTACAGTAGTATCTTAAACAGTATATATTTTACCTCATTCTTTGTGTACTTCAAATTTCTCTCATAACTAGTTTGTTCTGCCTAGAAATGCAGCATTTCCTCTTCAACTTTCAAAATAATCTCCACCTCAAAGACCTTAGTCTTTAGAATACATCATCTGAATGATGGAATTACTTACCAAATTAAAAATTATAAAAACTAGCGTAGTAAAAAGATAGAGGTGTTTAGTGGATGGAGCAAAGATGTGATTGCCATTCCATGTGCAGTGATACACTGTTTCATTTCACCTCAGGCTGACTAAATATGGAATTTCTAAAATTCAGTTTATGTAGCTTCAAGAAATAGGAAGTAATTGTATTTATCTGAGAAATACATAATGAGAGCCTAAACTAGGCATTGTTAGTGAGAGTCAAGAGGAACTGTTACATGTCAGAGAGATTGGAAAAATGATGTAAGTCAACACTGATTCAGTGAAAGGGAGGGGGAACAGTCCAGGAGAGTTTAAAGTCTGGTCATTAGGAAGATAATGGTTGCACAATCAAATATGGACTTCAGGAGAATGAACAGATTTGGGCAAGAAAAAGATGACTTCAGGTTTGAACAGAGTATGTAATTATGTTGAGACATCTGGCCTGCTGTCCATTTAGATCTGAGGCCTTGAAATGTGGCTGGTCTGAATTGAGGTGTGCTGTAAGTGTAAAATACACACCGGATTTTGAAGACCTGGTACAAAAAAAGAATGTAAAATATTGCATTAATATTTTTTTGTATTGGTGACATGTTGATATATTAAGTTAAATAAAATATGTTGTGAAAATTAACCCATTTCCTTTTACTTTTTTTAATGTGGCTGCTAGGAAACTTAAAATTGCATATGTGTTTTACCTTATATTTTTGATGGACAGCACTAATCTACATGGAGATTTGTAACATAGTTAGAAATGCAGGACCAACTCAAAGCAAAACATCTAGATTTGGAAATAACTAATGTAGGAGAGCTAGTTGATGTTGTGAGATTAGATTAAAATGCCAGTGTACAGGGTATTGAGATGAGAAAATGCTAACAATTATAAGATGGAAAGAGAGAAAATAACCAGGAAAAGAAAAACTAGAGAATCAAGATTCCGAAGTGGTACCTGATCAAGATAGAATTTCATGAAGGAAAGAGTAGTTAACATCATTGAATAATAGAGAGGACAAAGAGGAAAAGGAGTACTGAGAAAAGGCCACTCAATTTGGATGATACAGGTGCGGTTTCAGTGGAGTATAAGAGGGATAGATTGCAAGAGATTAGCAAGTTAGAGGTTGAAGTAGACTGTACATATAAGCTATTCTTTCAGGAATGAAGTCCATTTGTAAAGATAGTAATCACTTGATTCAAGCAGAGTACAGAGAAATTTGAGCATGTTTGTTTGCTGAATGAAAGGATCAGTCAAGTAGGAGTGCTTAAAATTGTAAAAGAGATAAGATAATTTCTTTAGTAAAGTCCTAAAGCATTGGGTCCCAAACCTGAGTGCATACTGGAATCAACCTGGGGAACTTGTTACAAGGGCAAATTCCCAGGCAACATCCCACATCTAAAATTATCATATTCTCTGGAGGTTTGTCTCCTCCATTTTGTTGACAAGTTCTTCCAAGTGATTATGATGTATCCACAGGACAAACAAGTCACAAAAATTAAGGGTTCTGATGAGAACACTGAAATGACTGACCATAGCATCCAAAATGGATGGAGAGCCAATTAGGGTGAGAATGGGGCTGGTGGACCATGAACTATGGTTATGTAATTGGCTTTTATTATTGTAAAAGTGAGTGCAAGTTCAGTGGGAATGAAAGACTGAAAAAGCTAAAAGATAGTGGATTTTGGTTAGAGAGGGAGGTTTCAGAATTCAGGATCTTGGAGGTCAATCAGACACACAATGTGGATGTATCTGTCCAATGTGGAAAAAAGATAAAGAGGACTGAGTCATGCACATTGTAAGGCCTGTCAGTTTGATAACTCTAATATAGGACAGTGGTAAAAGGGTATGGGGTTTGGGATCAGGAGGAAGTTCTAAAGGTTGAATCGGTATGGGCCTATCTAGACTTGAGATTTCCCTAAACCTTGGCTTGGATATCTTGGGAGATGTTTTCCAAAGGGGGGTGCCTGCTTGGGCTTATAGCCTTCTCTGAGTGTTCATGATCAGCTCCAGCGTTTGTTGAAAATAGAGTGAATGCCTGACATTCAAAGGTAACATATGCATAGTTTTGACTATTCATAAGTGACCCTATGGGTTCATGACATGAGTAGTTAATCATTTTTTCCGTGGTATGAATTTGAATCTCCTTCCCTAAAACTGGCTTGCAGGAACAAGTCATTTGTTCTTGACTTGTAGTGAAGTCAACATTTATGGCTCAGTTTGCTTTTAACACATGATTATATTAATCATCAGAATACCTCAGCCTGGTAGGTTTCACAGAAGGGGAAATTATATGCCAAAAAATGATATTAAATGAGTCAAAAACTTGAGTTTAAAAATCAAGTGAGTTTTAAAAGTTTTTAGCATTGCACCTAACGTGTAATAATTGGTTAATAAATGGTAGTTACTGGTGCTAATTAGGAATTCAATAAATTTTGAAGCCAAATTTTTTGTGTATGTCCAGGTTTTGTGAATAGTATTTATACTTAAAGTTTTGTCTAGATTAGGGTCTCCTTGAATTATTAAACTGAAGCTAGAATATTTGCTGTCGAATTGAGAGGACAATAGACCATTTTATCACTTCTTTTCTCATGTTTCATACTTGAACGGGAATATATATTAATTTATGTTGCTATTATGAAAAATTGCAACTTTTATAATATCCTGTAAGTATGTTTCCATGCCACAAGTATACATACACAGAAACAAAATGAATGAATTACGTTATTCACTTTGTTTTTCTTAGATTTGGTGTACTTAATCAACAGTTCTCTTTTTGCTAAACGACTTTTTCTCATTATATTGCATACTTACATAACTGTCTTTTGCTTAATAGTGAAGAGCTCAGAAAAGAAGCAAGACAATTAAAGCGGGAACTCTTAGCAGCTAAACAAAAAAAAGTAGAAAATGCAGCAAAACAAGCAGAGAAAAGAAGTGAAGGTAAGGGCATTTATCAGGCTTATATTTTCACTTAATACTCCTTTTCCTTACCCCTTCTTTCTCTCTCCTCCTCCTTTCCTCCTTTCCCTTTTCCCTTCTTTCTCCTTTTCTCCTCCCTACTTTCTACCTCCTTGTTTCTTGAGTTGAGTGGTCTTTAGTTTTATTTTTTAATACTTTCTTTGGACAGTTAGCCGCTAAAATTAACTTTTACCAAGGACATTTGTCTGAGAAGTAAATTCAATGTAAACATGATCATAACTGTTGTTCTTAAGCAATTTTAATGAGAACTTGAAATCAGGCAAAACTTAAATGTTGCCATATTATATAACTGGATTAAAAGTGCACAGGGATGTAATGTTCATTTTTTTATATTGTGTACTCTTTAGAACATTTTAAAGTGTTGAGCCCTGTTTTAGTCCATTTTGTGTTGCTATAACAGAAATACCAGAGACTGGGTCATTTATAAGGAAAAGAGATTTATTTGGCTTACTATTCTGGGACAGCTACATCTGGCCTAGGCCTCAGGCTGCTGCTTCTCATGGCGGAAAGTGGCAGGGAGCCGGCGGGTACAAGCAGATCACATGGCAAGAGGGAGCAAGAGAGAGAGAGGAGGAGCCAGGGTCCTTTAAACAATCAGCTCTCGCAGGAACTAATAGAGTGAGAACTCACTCATTAATCCCCCCTCCTCCATTCATGAGGGATCTGCCCCCATGACTCAATCATTTTCCAACACTGCCACATTGGGGATCAAATTTCCACATGAGTTTTGGAGGGGACAACACTTCCAAACTCCATCAAGCTCTATGTTTGGGACTTGTGTAAACATTGTATGTTGGTTTTAATAGTATTAAATATCTACTCTTGGTTTTTGTTTGTTTTTGTTTTTACTATTATGTTAAGACATAAAAAATCTAAAATATTGATAAAGCTGAATAACACCCTGCTGATATAGATTAAATATGTTTTTTGCTTCACTGTGATTTTTATTAAGCAAGAATAGCTTCAAAAAAAGCTGTTTCACTGAAAATCTTTCATTCAGTTTAAAACCATTTTATCTATAAAGCATACAATGTTAAGTTTCCAAAATAATAGCTTAGAACCCTCAAATCTGTTGGCTTTTAACAATAATAAATTGCATTGTAGATTCAATGAACATGACCAGAAATCTTACTCAGTATTGCCTGTAATGATGTATAATAAATTTAACTTAATAAATTTCCTTCGTACACATATCTTCTGTATTCTTATGCTTCTGGAAAGCTTGAAGTGTTTTTACTGCCAGATTCTGTAACAGTCACTGGAGACATATCAAAGAATAAGATACAGCCATTAGCCTTAAAGAATACATATTCTAAGGGCCGAGCCCGTGGCGCACTCGGGAGAGTGCGGCGCTGGGAGCGCAGCAGCGCTCCCGCCGCGGGTTCGTATCCTATATAGGTATGACCGGTGCGCTCACTGGCTGAGCGCGGTGCGGCCAGTCTCAAAAAGGACAAAAAAAAAAAAAAAAAAAAAAAAAAAAAAGAATACATATTCTAATGCAGAACATTTGGCCATAGTTGTTATTATTTATTTTAAGTATCACACGTAATACCACATAACAATTTAAATGGCATAGTTCACAGATTATTTGCACCATATCTCCAGTGACTATAGTAGTAAAGGCATGTACTTCATGAACAATTGAAAGTCACTGAAATATATATTTGAATGAAACTAATTATTGAAAAATTAACTCACCATAATGGCACAAATTATAAACTGAATTTAAAAGAAAGGATAAACTTATTTATGACTAGGTAATGTAGCTAAAAAATAACCCACAATAGAAACAAGCTCTGTTGGCAATATTAAGATTTGAAAGAAGTACAATGAGGATTATTTTATTTTTAAGATTATATATAATTTTCCCACTGGACTATTTCTTATAATTAAAAGCATTTTAAATATATGAAAGTAATTCTTTTCAACTAGAAAGATCTTTTGCTTAAATATTTTATTCACTTTTGAGATAATGATTATAAATGCTGACATATCTCAAGAACTGTGCTGGACTAGGGGCATAAGGTTGGTAACAGATGTATGGTTCTTGCCTCTAGTTCATGATCTAGTTGGAGTAAGAGAAAAGCAGTAAATAATTACTATAATAGTGATGTATAGTTAAGGCCTATATTAGACATAAGTAGTGCTATGTTTATTTATCTGCCTTTGAAATACTAAATACAATTAGGTAAAGAAAGGTTTGAGTCTTCAAAGACTGATTTCTTAACACAAAAGAGATGATTCTTACAGAGCTTGTTTCAGTCTATTTATGTGAATGTTAACCATGTTAAATCCTTTTTATTCCATAATTAGAAAGGGAATTTTATTAATAATTATTTTTATGAATTTAATGTTTCCTAAACCATATAGAAATACCTGGATTTGCCCTAAATCTGAGTGACAGTTAAAAATTAACTTCCAAAAACATTGGGTCATTCGGTTGCTATCATTTCTTTTCTAGTATCAGAATGGGCCATTTTATTTTCTTATTTTTCATTGTTTTATTTTGAAATAATTTTAGTTTTATACAGAAGTTGCAAAAGTAATACAGAGAATTTCCATACACCTTTAAAGTTAAGGTCTTATACAACCATAGTACAATGGTCAAAACCAAGCAATTAATATTGGTACAATACTATTAACTAACTACAGACCTTATTAGAATTTCACCATTTTTCACACTAGTATTCTTCTTCTACGATCATTCATTCCAAGAGTTCATGTTGTATTTAGTTATCATGTCTCCTTAGGTTCCTCTGGTTTGTGACAGTTTTTCAATCTTTCCTTGTCTTTCATGACCTTGACACTTTGAAGAGTCCTGGATAAATATTTTGTTGAATGTCTATGAATTTGAGTTTGTCTGATGTTTTCTCATGATTAGATTAAGGTTATGCATTTTTTGGCAAGATTACCACATAAGTGGTATTCCTTCTCAGTATATTATATCAAGGGTAACCTGATGCCTATTGTCTTATTACTGTTGATATTACCTTGATTACTAGGTTAAAGTGGTATCTGTTGAGTTGCTATACTATACAGTTATTCTTTTTACCTTTGAGATTTGTAGGTATCGGGAGAAGACAGTTGGAGACTATACAAATACCTTGTTTTTTCTCAAGCTTCCGCCCCACTAATTTTAGTGTTCATTGGTAGATATTAGATCTTGCCTATGGGCAACAGTTATTTACTGTGGTAGTCCAACCGTGATTTTCTATGACTATTTCCCTGACTCCTACTACTTTTATTACTTGGAATTCTTCTGTGAAAAAGAGTGCTGTCATCTATTATTTATTTATTTCAATATGGGCTTGTGAATATTTATATTACCCTATGTATTATAATCCCAAACTATCGTTATTTATTTTGTTCAACGTTTTTCCAGCTTTGGCCATTGGTAGCTCTATCAGGTTGGCTCCTGTGTCCTTTTAACTTGCCCTCATCCTTTGAGCACTTTCTTATTTCCTGGCACCACAAGATACTCCAGGCTGATCTTGTACTTTCCCTTCTCTGGACCTGTAATCAATGATTTCTCCAAGGAACTCTGGTTCTTCTTATTGAAGTATTATATTTAGAAACAAAGAGCTGGACACTAAGTGGGCCATTTTATTTTGATTCTAAATTTTTAGAATGCTATTAGGAGTAATATTTTATAATCACTACCTTGTTAGAATACTTAACAAAATTCTTTTTAAGACCTATCTATTATCCATGATATGGATTACCTTTTTCTCGGAATTGTATTTCCTCTAAACTTCCTATGATCTTTTAAAATTGACAAGTATAGCTGATATAATGATGAAAAATGGTTTACTATGAAAGATTTGTGAATTTTAGTAAACACTATATTAAATTTGAAATTCACGTTTCTAAGAAGTTTTCAAGTCTAGTAGTACTTCTTTCCCCATGATTAAAAATGATACCATGAGCCATCTCACTACATAGCATTATAGAAACAAAGTAGAGTTTCAGGCATCATTGAACACATGTCAGAACTTAGCCTGTCTTTTCAGTTGACAGATATCTCAAGGTTAGAACTACATGAACTATGGCAACAGATCCAGAGGTTCTCATACATGTTTGCATAGTAAGATCCTCACATGAAAAGAATTTGGAAAGTGTTATTTGACCTTGGCTCTGTAACTTTATGCATCAGTTGAGCTGAATACCCTCATGAACCTATTCAGGAAAGATTTCTTGATTGGACTATATGGCTACATATCAGGCTTTTATAGTGTTTTATTTTAGTCCAAGACTAAATTATCTGAGTATTCTGGCAATTCTGAATGATTTGGTCTTTTGAACATTTTATGCTATGTCTAGCAATTTAATTTACCTTTTCGATAGTATGATGTAGCAAATTGTCATGTGATACAGACCTCTCTTCTGTATGAATTTCCATCTGAATGCATGCACCACACCTGCTAAATAGAGAGACTAAAAATACATTAATTTTGGTATTTTAATAGTAATTTTGGTAATAATACTAGATACTTGTTATACATAACACTAATGGTTATAAGAATGCTTTGGAATAGTATATCTTCTCAAAAAATTAGTAGGGAAGTGTTAAAATTCTTAATTACAGTTACTAGCAGTGAAGTTATTTAAGGCTTTGTGATTCAGTTTTCTTATAAGTCCTGGGATAAAACATGCCTTCTCCACCTCTCAGTGTTCCTGTAAAAAGTAAATGAAATCATGAGAAAACCTTTAATAAATTTACAGTACTGTATAAAAATAATTTTAAACTTGTGAGAAAAAAATATAGCTATTTCTGCTTTCATTTTGTTTCCTATCCAAATCCTACAAATTGAAAATGTGAATTTTAATACTGTATTAGTTGCAATTAAAGCCTATAATCAATATGGCTGTATGTAAATATGACATAAATTAAAATCTCAAAATAAACTTTCTATGTTTTTCAAAGTTGCATTTCCATAATGATATTCTTTGTTAAAAGGGTT